CACTGAGTGTTAGAACCCATTCTATGCTGACAAGGCATCTCAGGCCATTCGTGCCAAATTTAAAGGCAGGAAAAATAAAACGTATGTATACGTTTGGGGCACTAGCGGTAAAAACGTATATATATGTTTGGACCGTTTACGGGTTAATAACCCTTTGACTGTTTCAGTCGTGTATTTACATCTTACGAGCCAGTGTTTTTGATGTATTAATTTGCATGAATTCTAGCTGCTTCAAATCAAGCGGGACAAAGCCAGTAGGCCTACATGTGAGAGAATGGGTCTGCGTGACGGGTATGCACAGTATGAAAAAAATCGGGGACACATTGGAGCATTGTGGGAATGCCATTTTAGTAGTCCTTGTTCACAATGCCTTGTGGTAAGAAGTACCTTACTCCTCGCTGAATTGGAGGTCTTCTGTCCCTAAGTGATAGTTCAAACAGTGATGGAAGTGCCAGTGAAAGTGAATTCCATGGTTTTCAGGAGGGTGTGACTGAAAGCAGTGCCCAGGATAACATAATTAGTGATGAAAGCCCAGATGACCCACAACCTTCCACCTCTGGTGCTGGGCCGTCTCATTCACGTTCACCCATACCAGGATGAAAGAGGAAACTATTTCCCCGTATACAGGACTCAGATGTAAGCAGTGAAAGTGATAGTGATTTCCAAGCTATTGAAAGCGGTTAGAGTTGTGACAGTGAGGGAGAGTACAGTGGACCCCCGCTTTACGATCACCTCCCAATGCGACCAATTATGTAAGTGTATTAATGTAAGTGCGTTTGTACGTGTATGTTTGGAGGTCTGAAATGGACTAATCTAATTCACAATATTCCTTATGGGAACAAATTCGGTCAGTACTGGCACCTGAACATACTTCTGGAATGAAAAAATATCGTAAACTGGGGGTCCACTGTATTCTCCATTGAAGCGGCAGTATGTACAACGCAGCATACGTTCTGGTAGTGTGCCATATGCCATTCCAAGGCAAAGGAGTAAATCATGGAGTACATTCTGTGGCCCTACACCACGAACTGATAGTGAAGATGATGATATTGTTACAGTGGGGATGAGTAACGTGCGTGGGGCAGCAGGTGGGGGTAGTGGTGGGGGCATTAGTCATGTGGCACCAGCAGCGAGCCACACTGCTAACTCAGCACAGCCACAGTCGGCCTCAACCACTCCCATAACCTGCACAACCACAATCTCCACAGCCACAACCACCTGTCAATATCCAGTACCCACCAGCAGACTGCATCTGGGATTGGCATGAAGGTGCCAATTTTGTTCCCAATCCCCATGACTTTGATGAAACACAAAGTGGAATACGGCCATCGTGTACACTTGGGAAGAGTGCCACTGAACTGGAATGCTTTGTTATTCTTTGATGAACCCCTGATGGAAATTATTGTCAAGGAAAGCAACACATACTACGAGTACACCATGGCAAGCACAATTTTTTCACCAAGGTCACGGCTACACCAGTGGAAGGACACAACTGTGGCAGAGACGTACCTGTTCTTTGCCACAATAATGCTTATGCCACATGTGTATAAGCACACTGTCACCACATACTAGTTGACAGACTGCCTGATTTCAACCAAAGGTATTACTGATATACCATTGAATCGATTTCTGCTACTGTTACGTATGCTACACTTCTCAGGCAAAACAAGGCCTGACAAATGACAGGTTATATGTTTATGTTTATGTACCTGAAACAAAAGTGCTGTATGTATTTTTTATCCCTCCAGGAAGCTTGTTATTGATGAGTCTGATTTTGTTCAGAGGCAGACTGTCATTCAAGCAGTACATACCAAGCAAGAGGAAATGCATTGGTATAAAGTTATTTGTACTGTGTGTTTGCAAAACTGGTCTGGTTTTGGATATAATTGTGTACAATGGCATTAATACATTGAGAGATACAATGGTACCTCGAGTTACGAACTTAATTCATTCCAGAAGGCTGTTCGAGTGCTGATTCCAAATGAATTTGTTCCCATAAGGAATAATTTGAATTAGATTAATCCATTTCAGACCCCCAAAAATACACTTACAATAGCATTTACAAAAATACACTTGCATAATTGTTCAAGTTGGGAGCTGTTCGAAACTCGAGTTACCATGGTGCCAGGAAGTTATTGGGTATCTCTGGTGATGTGGTTAGAACAATGATGGAACCATATCTTGGTAAGGGACATATATACTGATTTCATACACAAGCCCCTTACTCAGTTACCTCTTGCAGGTGAACATGACAGACGTGTGTGGCACAGTGCATGGAAATCATAAGCACATGCCTAGGTTCGACGCAGGCTCTCACAGTGGTGAGGTACAGACATTTGCTGCCAGTGACATCATGGCATTTCAGTGGCATGACAAACGTGATGTCCCGTTGACATCAGTTCACCGACATGAAATGGCAGACTAGAGAGACCAATGAACTCATTCTAAAACCTGCAGCTGTGATGGACTACAACCTCAGTATGCACTTAGTGGACAAATGTGAAATGCAGATTGGGTTTGCAAGAGTTATAAGTGGTACATAAAACTTTTTTCATCTTCTTGATATATCCATGCTGAATGCTTATAATGTGTATAAGCTGAAGAACAACAACAAACCCAAATATGGTGAATTTTGTTTGTTTGTCAGTCATCAGACAAATAATATTCAAGTACCAAGGAACAACACCTGCAATAGACCAGCACCCACAAAATTATCAGAACATACCCTCTTATCTGAGGCCTGATGATCACTACCCCATACAACTGTCTCCTACTACTACTCAAGAAAACTGCTCAGAAGAGGTGTTACGTCTGTGCACATACCACAAACCTCCCACAAAAACAGACACACTCGTTTTGTGTGAGGAGTGTAAAACACCACTGTGTTTATACCCATGTTTCAAAGAATTCCACAAGCTACAGCAGTTCTAGGGAAAGTGTCCAATGACTGTACATTTGTATATATATATTATAGAATAATAGTAATAAACAGTTTTTTGTATTGTTTGTGTAAACAAGTTTTGTAAACAATATATTGATGAGAACATTTGTGCGCTTATTGTGTTGCATACGAGTGTATATATGTACATTGCACCTTACTTTGGTCTCACAGGCCACATAAGTTACCTGAAAAAATAATGTAGTGGAAAAAACAAGAAACCTTCGAATGGAAGTAAAATGAGAGTTTACTAGGTGAGCAGCATTTGCCACTGTTGCCATATGCAGCTAATTTTCTGCCAACTTTATGCCTCTTATATCTCGGTAAGTACTGATCGCAAAAAAAAAATTTTAGGCTGTTGAGTTCTCTGATGTAATGAAACAAAGATTAGGAATGAAAGCAAAACCTAAACTAAGCAAAATAACAAGCTCTGTAACCTAAAGTCTACCATTTCTCATCCTCATATGGTGCTCATCATTATAGTATGATGAATGGGTGGCATCTGACATAATGCAATGTCCAAAGTAATAGCCTACCTAGGTACATTTGATGAAACAGAAGCTTATACTATAGGCTTGCCTATAGTAGAAACTTAGCCCTTGTGGTTTAGCACTTCTTTTTGATTATAATAATAATAATATATTAGAAACTGCTGGCTGCATCCTAAGTGCCTTCTGGCCTTGTGTGGTGGACAGTTTGTGCCCATCATCCCCCTGCATATTGTCTGTCAGATATTTTCGGCTGTTGATGAATTAATATGGATAGGAGTAAATCACTGGTACGAAAATTGCAGAGAGCCTTGGAATACATAAGGCAGGTCATCAAACTAAATAAATATAGAAGTCAGCAATGTGTGAGTGCCAGTGAGGACCTGGTTGTGTCAGTCCCTTCAGGACAGTGTTTGCTATATGCCCACCCATTAGTACGTCTAGGAAAGCCAAGGAGACCATTGTCAATGATGGTAACTGTACAAACATACCTAGAAATTATTTATGTGCCTGAATTTTTCAGTGTGGTGCAAGGTTTTTATGCAAAACAGTGCTTGCCATACCGCAAAATCTGCTGTTCAGTAACTTTGAAGTACCTTTCTTTGATGACCAACCAGGAAGCTTCTCAGATGTTAACCCCATTGAGAACCTCTGGGCTGAGAAAGATTTGCTACTAAGGAAAGGATATCAGCCCACTCCCACAGTTTTAGAATACTGTCCACGAGTCTTGGAGGAATTTAGCCCATGACAATCTGCAAAATGTGTGTGAATTGTTTCCTAAATGATTGAAGTATGTCCTAAGATGCAAGTGATGACCTTTTTTGTTTGTGATTTTAGAAGGGGCCAATGCAGTTTATGACGAGTACTGCTTGAGCTGTGGGAGGGTATAGGAGGGATGCTTGAGCTGTGGGAGGGGATATAGGAGGGAGTGCTTGAGCTGTAGGAGAAAATAAATGAGGGTATAATGAGGGGGGTGTTTGGGCTGTGGGAGGGGATTAGCAGAGGCTAGGTATAGAACAGGGTGCTTGTGTTGTGGGAGGGAACGAGATAAGGAAGCCATTGTGGGTGAGAGGGAAAAATGGTGGGCAGTGTTTAGTCATGACAAGTGAACATGGTATTAGGAAGATTAGCTGGATAAATAAACTTAAATTTCTATATGGAATTGGATAATTTCAATAGGAAACACAATAATTGCCTGAAGTTTGTCCCTGACCAGCCAAGCCATGGTACATACATTGGACTGCCTGCACTTAGCACCAACAGCCTTGTTGATGAGGCCATCAAGCAGGATTCTTGGTTTGGGACTGCTCCATGGAGGGAGTGACTCCTGGAATGGTCTTAAGTAACCTTCAGGTAAAGAAATTTTTCATTGGTATCTAGTATCCTTGGAAAATTGAGGTGGAAGTAGTGTAGTAGTGAACTGTTGTGGGTAAGATTGTCATAGTTTTGCTTCACTATTATTTCCTAGGTTTGTATTCCCTCACTCGAAGAAATTAGGTATACTTGTGTGTACTAGCTTCTAATGTTTATTCACAAGCAAACTTTGGTTAAACTTGTTGCAAGAAAACACAAGATTGATAAAAACAGTTTTATTACTTCACAACACAGTAGGTAACGCGCACCGTTGACGGCAGAGCTCAGCCTTCCTTGTAGCCAACCAGCCAACACTTGCTTGTACATGTTGCTTGTTCACACTCTCTCTCTCTCTCTCTCTCTCTCTCTCTCTCTCTCTCTCTCACACACACACACACTTCATACATACATGACAAGTATGATGGGTAATACAGCCATAACTTGTGTTATATGTGGGCAAGTGTTGGCAGGCTGTGTTCTGAGACATGACCTTAGCTGCTGCCAATGAACAAATAATGCAGAAATACACACTAAATTATTAATACAACAAATCTAGAGAACACAGTATGGAACAGAGAATTATGAAATACTGTATATAGTGTATTAACAAATATTACATTCTTTCAGAAAAATATACATATAGAAACAGAGCAGAATACATGTAACTCTGAATGTATGCTTGTTTATTTTGTAGTACAACAGTCTGAGGACACAGTATAGTTATACGTATCTTGTATTTGTCAGTGCAGGAGTGAATAATTAGCCAAACAGGAATAAAGTGATAACATTTAAGAAAAAGTAATACTTGGGTAAGAAATGTGAAGCAAGTAAACAAGTCTATGTATATGTAGAAAAAACTATATTTTACATATTAAATAAAGATTATGAAAAGTGAGGACATAAACATTAACATATATATAGTGATTATAATTTTAAAGACAACAGGACCAGGATATTTTGCTTCTGTTTTGTATGTCAGCCCATCTTCTAAAATCTGTAATATGACTATAGTATAATTTTGCTTTAAGAAATGTTAACATGGTGATAAGTTACCAAAGTTATTTTGTGGAGAAGCAAAATTATACATTTTGGAATCCGAATTCTTTTCTATTATTTTTTTTAGAAACTAACTTTTGGTTAATTATATCAATAGTTTAAGTTGCTGATTATCTTGTTTATTTGCCCATTGATATTTGGCTGTTTCATGTAATTATTACCTTGTTAAAAATGTAGCACTAAACCCGTGTGGGTTATACATTACTGGTGCTTCATGAAAGAGACAGTAGCAACTGCCTGACATGAAACTTTAGTAGCTTGACTTAGTCAGATGCTTTCAGAAATAATTTGCATATATAGAGCAACACATCAACAGAAGCAGAGCTCATCTCCAGCTGCTTGAAACAGAACTAAAAATAAGTTAACAAAAGCTCTTCAGAAATTGAAATAACAGTTTAAACAATAATACATTAAATATACCTTGTCCTTAGCAATTAGATGCATTCTATGTAATGCAAGTTATCTTAACAGATTGACACGAACTTTATATAGGCTGTCTATAAAACTACGAATACAATGACTGGATGTAGCATAGACAAAGTTTTTATTTAGGTGTATGACCCATATGGGTTTAGTGCTAGTTCACTAATATAATAATCTGTCTTCTATAGGGAAAGTTACCGAGTGACAATAGGTGAGGCAATTCCATATTCACACTCAGCAATGCACGTGAAGGAGCAATGTACTCACCTGTGAAATTGAGTGGACAAACACATTGGCAAGTAATATATGAAGTGGATCTCCAGCTAAAATATGGAAGAGCACTATGACCTGAACCACTTCAGATATAATGTAACTAGCTATCAAAAATGACTTATTGGTGTATAAAATAAACCTGGTGCTCTCTCTTTACTGAATGCCAATAATCAGGCAGCTTTTAATAACTTACATACATGTTAAATTCAACAAGTGCCATAATAACTTTACAGATTAATGTAAAGCCTTAGCTAGTCCTGAAGTAGTGCAGTATAACTACTGTACATTAGTCTAAAATGGCAACTTAATGAAATGATTGGTTCAAAAGACAAGAACTAATTTAACGACCTGGTGTATATAACGGAGAAGGGACAGATGGTTTCTCGACTGTATATAAGGGAGAGTCATACAAGGATGAGACTGGTGCAGGTGTGACTGCAGGCTTAGAAGGCAGTGGAAGAGGTGCCAGAGTGACCTGAGCAGCAAATTTAGACAGGTCCAGTGATGGGAGGGTGATCTGGGGAATGACAGGCAGCTGGAGCTGTGGTAAAGTGATGGGAGGTGGTGGTGGGAAGTTGGCAGTGGAGGCAACTCTTATCAGGTCTCCGACTCCTGTACCTAACGCAGAAGCTATGCCTCCAGCAGACTCTATAAATGCCCCACCAACTCTCACGCCAGCGTTGAAGGCAGTGGCACCAACATCCAGCCCAGAGGCACCGAGTTTAGCAATGATTCGTCCCTTCAGGGCCAGGGTATCTTGTATCAGCCGGATGAAGATTTCCAAGGCATCCCTCAGGATATCATTCTTGGCTGCAAAGATGTCTCCTAAATCATCGGCAGACTCGGCTAGGACATCACTAATGGCATAGGTCAGGGGCTGACTGGCACGAATTACCTCTGACAGTACACGAGCCTTTATGCTGGGCACCTGAAATGTGCAACAATCATTTCTTAATCTTTCATGAAGAGTTTATAATGGGAATGAGCACTAAATGAGCCTTAAAATATTGCTACAAATGAACAAACTGATTCCTGGTAAGATGATTTAGAAACAACCACTAACAATGTTACCTATTGGTACTTATCACTAATAAGAGAAAGTATTGGTAAGTTTGTTTGTTTGCAAAGGACCTATCAGAACATATAACTAATTACAAAGATCTATCAGTTGATACAATTACAGTGGACCCCCGGTTTATGATCAGCTCCCAATGCAACCCATTATGTAAGTGTATTTATGTAAGTGCGTTTGTATGTGTATGTTTGGGGGTCTGAAATGAACTAATCTAATTCACAATATTCCTTATGGGAACAAATTCGGTCAGTACTGGCACCTGAACATACTTCTGGAATGAAATATCGTAAACCGGGGGTCCACTGTACTTGTAAGAGGATCCATCAACTTATCATGGCTACTTAAGAAATATATTATCAATGAGAATGACATATGAGAAGATAATTGATCCATAACAAAAATTTAAGTAGCCAAACCTGCCCCTTTAGTTAGTAATTTTTATAAAACCCCATTACAAGTACATAAGCATCAGCAAGAGTAACAACCACTAGATGACACTTGTGTCAGTAGTGTTACTGATTCCCTATGTGATACACTTGTGTAGTTATCCCCAGCATGTTAGTACTGGGTACTGTACTCATACCAACCGTTACTGATTCACAGCCTCCCTGCGTGAATCACTAACTAAATCACTGTTACTGCTGACCTAGTATGATCTGAATGCTGCTCGCCCTCCGGGCACTCGCAGCTCAGTTCAAGTCGAGATGATAGAGGAGGCAGGTCAAGCTTGGCATTCCCCTTCTTTTACCTGGAATGTTCTTTCTTGACAGAAGGCCCAAACAAAAGGAACATCTTTCTTAGACTCTAAAAGAAAAGCTAACATCTGCTCCAATCTTGAAATTTCCAGATTTTTCTAAGCCTTTCTATCTGACAACTGATGCTAGTTCAATTGGCATAGGTGCCATACTAGCTCAGAAGATTGATGGCAAGTACAACAGTTGAATTTGCTAGCCGCATCCTTATGAAGGATAGACGTAATTATACAGTAACTGAGCAAGAAGCTTTAGCAATAGTATGGTCTTTACAGCACTCCGAGACATTATATATCAGTACTCTGTTCATGTCTTGGCAGACCATGCTCCACTTTTATTCCTGAACAATCTACTGGAAGGTTAGCCAGATGGACCTTGACTATCCAAGAGTTCAATCCTACCTTTAAACACTTACCTGGTAAGTCAAGTGTTGTTGCAGATGCTTTATCATAACATGTTAGTATAGTAACAGCAAACCCTCCATTTAGTGCAGAAGACAAAGAATGCTCAAAGAACAGATCCCATGTGGTCTGGTGGGATTTGATTCCTGTTCCAGGAAAATCTTATTCTGACTGTGAAGCCAGCAGTACCCATCAGTGACTGTCATGAACCACGAATTTCTGTATTGCACAGCCGAGCTGGGTACTCCAAGCAGACAGGTATACCAGTTAGTGATTCCACAGTCACTAGTGAATGTAGCCTTACAGCTAGTTCATGATGTACAAGGTGTTGTGCACCCTCTTATGGATCATTCAGTAAAACAAACCAATTTAAATACACTTTTGGCCTTTACATCCCCAAGGAGTTCCTTGATGTTGGTTGAGGCCTCTTGATTTAGGAATTGGGATCTGTCCAGTTCCCCAAATTAGCCTGAAGCCCCCACTATCCCCCCAAGCGCTGTTATCCTCCGGGTTTAGCGCTTCCTATGTTGTAACTAATAATGGCCTTACTCAGTCAATCGATGTGACCGTGAGCGCAACTAGCAATCTTTTAATGGACTATCTATCCAGGTGTATGCCAAACAAAACCCTAGGAAAGAGTTGTGCTAGATCTGTTAAACAATTTCACATGTTCCCTCCATGGCAACAAACATTTGTGTTTGAGTTCATTTCACCAATATTAAGACATAATGATAAGTACGAATGAACTCAGAAGGCCTATGCCCATAAAGGCAGTCCCAGTCCTACAGGCTTAAGCCAATACCAGAACCTAGTCAGGTCAGGTTACATTACTTAAGGGATGGATTACAGGCAACCGACCTGTTAGCACAAGCTCAGTTCCAACTCACAACCCATCTACTTGTATTTCTACAACTATTTTGAAGTTACAATCGTTCCTTGGCTCTATAACGGTACTTGGAGTTTGATCCACTCTCCACAAGTTATTACCAAACATAACATGTTATATATCCCTCCTGAATCTGAATTTTTCCAACTTAAAAATTGCTGCGAGTCCATGTAGGTCTAGTATTTAGCACATTTACAGACCCATTATTTATTCCTGTCTCCACTTATAACCTCATCATACCCCCTAATTCTACGTCTTTCTAGATGTGTCAGTTTTGGGCCTTAGTCTATGGCTATGGGAGGTTCAGACTTACATGGGATCTCCTTTGTCATCTCCTTTGTACATTTACAGAGAATTTATATACCATTTCTGTATTCGGTGACCAAAATTGCAGAAAATCTAAATGAGCATAACATGGATTTAAGTAGAAGAACAATGAGGACTCTATATTTATGCTCTTGATAGAAGCCAAGGCATTTATTAGGCTTTTTGCGAACTTATCCACTGTTGTCAACTAGGAAAGATTATGCTAACCAGACTCCTAATCTTTTCGCAATCCGTAATTAAGATCACATTTAGTTTAGTGTGGTATGTTCATATTGTTCCTGTTGCAGATAAGACTGCCGAGATAGTAGCTAAAGCGTTTGAAGAACACATCTGCAGGTATACTACTCCTAAGTCCCTAGTAACCTATAATGGAGGTGAATTCTGTAATGAGATTCTTGAAAATTTGTGTACGTTGTACAAGATCTCTAAATCAACCATTGTTCATCATCCTGCCAGTAATGGGTTAGTGGAATGCACTCATAAGAAAGTACGTACTTGATGTCTTGAGAGCCACTATTAATCCCATTAGTGAAACTTGAGATGAAGTTATACCTGATTATCAGTGTGCCATAAATTCTGCTTAAAATGCTTCTTAAGGGGACACTTCACATTATGCGTTGTACGGTGTAGATAAGCATTTGCCTTACGAGTTGTTATATTTAAAATATATTCATCTGCACAGGTTTCCATTTAACCCCAACTCTACTAGGGTGTGATTTACATATGCAGAATGGTTATCTCTGGGAAGATCCAACTCTGTTGCAATGGCTAACACATCCAAGTGGGTCAGTGCTATTTCAACCAGGTAGAGCCCATCCACTTCACTGGATCAATCCATTCCTCCAATAGAGAGACTTAGCTCCCACTAATTTCCCAGACGAGGCGAGATGGGGGTATAATGAACTTATTGTCCCATTGTATCCTACTTGAACCTGGTACCAGACCTATTTATATACCTGTGTACAGAATGCCTCATTCACAAGTTGCTGTTGCAGAAGAATTGATCGATCAGATGCTTGATGATGGAGTTATTGCACCTAGCAAGTCACCCTGGAATGCACCCTTGATTCTAGTACCTAAGAAGGATGGTACTTGGAGCCCAGTGATTGACTTTAGGAAGTTAAATGCAAAAACTATTCCAGATCGCTTCCCACTTCCTGTACTTGGTGACCTTTTATGTTACATCATAGTTTTTTCGACCCTGGACTTGTTACAAGGGTTTTGATAAGTCCCTCTTCACGAGGACAGCCAAGAGTTAACCTCATTTTCCACTCCTACAGGTCATTATCACTTCCTCTGCATGGCCTTTGGTTTATGATCTTCACCTGTCACATTCTCTAATATCTTTAGAGGCCTCATAGGTAATGCACTTATGGTGTACTTAGATGTAATTGTCATGTCTGAAGACATGGATATGCACTTGAAAAGACTTGATGTAGGACATGGTAAGCTTGAAGCCAATTTAAAGATCAAACTGTCTAAATGTAAAAATTTCAGATTAGAAATCAAGTTTCTTGGTCATGTTGTCACTTCTAGAGGGGTTACGACTGACCAAAGTAAAGTAACTGCAGTATTAATTTTCCATCTCCCAAAACTGCTGATGACGTAAGATCCTTTGTGGGCTTAGCAGGTTTCATAGATCTTTCATTGCCATTATTTCTTCCATAGCAGCTCCTCTGAGTTGCTTAAGAATGATGCTCCTTTCGTTTGGACCTTCTGTCAAGAAAGAGCATTCCAGACTCTAAAAGAAAAGCTAACATCATCTCCAATTTTGAAATTTTCAGATTTTTCTAAGCCCTTCTATCTGACAACTGATGCTAGTTCAATTGGCATAGGTGCCGTACTAGTTCAGAAGATTGATGGCGAGTACAATGCAGCTGCATTTGCTAGCAGAGTTCTTACGAAGGCTGAATGTAATTATACAGTAACTGAGCAAGAAGTTTTAGTAATAGTATGGTCTTTAAAGCCCTTCCGAGACATTATATGTCAGTACAGTGGACCCCCGCATAACGATGGCATCGCATAGCGATTTTTCCGCATAACGATTACTTTTATCGCAAAATTTTTGCCGCGCATACCGATTAAAAACCCGCATACCGATTTTCGTCCGAGACGCGTCCAATGTGCCCTCAGCCAGCCTCACATGTGCCGCTCCGTCCCATTGTTTACCAGCCAGCCTCCGCGGTAACATCCAAGCATACACTCGGAATATTTCGTATTATTACAGTATTTTCGGTGCTGTTTCTGGAAAATAAGTGACCATGGGCCCCAAGAAAGCTTCTAGTGCCAACCCTGTGGTAAAAAGGGTGAGAATTAGTATGGAAATTAAGAAAGATTTTGAAGGGTTTGGGGCTAACCCTGAGAAGCCTATGCCAGTTGTGGAATCCATTGTGCCTACTTCAAAGATTAAGGAAATGTGTGCAGAGTGGGTTGAACTGCAAACCTTTATAGATGAAAATCACCCTGACACAGCTGTTGCAAGCCGTG